CCCCAAAACCCCAAAACCCCAAAACCCCAAAACCCCTTGAGATTAGCTTTAATTTGAAGAATAAAATTAAATAATTCATACAAAATGGAAGAGATTTATCCCAATAGAATAGATGACCATGTCTCTTTTAGGTAAATATGCAAGAACAAATAAAGGGTTATGCTACTATACCACCTATCACTAGAATGCGCCTACTCGATGACCGTCATATGGATTATAAATAGATTTAGGGCTGGAATTGTTATTGGTTTAATCCAAAGTCTCGGGTGTCATCAATATAAAATCTGCTATATCTCAAAAGAATTTGTACTAAATCATCCATGCATGGTGACTTTAGCTTATTTTATATCATAGAAGGACGAAGAAAAAGTCAAGTAAAGCTCATGAAAATAGTGTATCGTATTTTTCAAAGAGTGCTTTTCATAATAAGCATCATAGAAATCATTCAAAGGTAAGCTCAGCCCCTTTTTGTCATTTCAAATTAGATTTTAAAGAGATTTATGAACCCTCCACATTGGAGCATACTGGTAATTTATCGTAGAGATCAAGCCAAGATAGCTACCTACCTCCAAAGTTTGTCTCATCTGATAATGAAGGCGTCGAAGAGATCTTGAGAGAGAACTCTGTGCTGGATAGTTCACATAGAAGAAAGAAGATCATATCTACACCTAGAGGAAAAGATCCAAGCAATTTAGCTAAAGCATTAAAGACTCCTGTATTTTCTAGAAGGTAAGAATTTGATGAATTCTTTAGTGCTAATAAGTCAGGTAATTGCTCAAAAGGAAGCCAGCAAAATTCATCGAAACGATCTAAACCAAAGCAAAAGAGGATGCTATATGAGGAGTATCAAACCTTCGGTAATACAGAAGGTAATGACAAAGTAGCAGAAGAGGATGATCCTACTGCTGGGTGGATCAAAATCAATAATAAAAGAATGAGAAATGTTCCAAATGAGGAACAGAAATACGATACTTTTTGGAATAACAAATAATAAAAAGTATATTCCATCTGACAGCTCAGTAAAACACTCAGTTTTTTCATCTCAAAACAATGAAAAGATGTCTCAAAGAAGAGCTCATTCAAAACTTAAGAACGCCCTTGCACTCTCAAGAAAGAGAATTGAACACTTTAATGAACACAAGAGTAGCTCTCCAGTTAAGACAACTCGAGATGTAAAAGCTAGTTATACTGATGTTGATGAGTAAATAAAAGGGTAAATAATGCTATAGACAGTATTACAATGTCTCAACTAGATTCCCAAAAGCAAGGACACCTTCCAAAACTCTTTTCACAACCCACTCTCAGAGCACTCTTCCTCACTCAAGGATTGGAAATCAGAAAGGAAGACCTCCTAAGCAATTATTCGGTCCAAAAGCAGTCAGAAGGGAGCAGCCAGTGTCTATGGAGGATGCTTCCGACCGGTTCCTGAGTGAATATCACTCTATTGTCACTACGAACAAAAGGGATTTACAGGAGCTGATCTCCTATAAAAGGGATGTAAAGCTGGTCTTAGCCGAGCATAGGGTATCAGTTCAAGATACGCTCAAAGATATCTCAAAAATCCAGGACAAGAACAAATAAACTTCAGAGGAAAGCGCAGAAACAAAATGAGCAGAACTCTAAGCTCTCAGGAGAAATTGAGGAGTTAAGAGAAATCTCCAGACTTCTCAAACAAAGGGTCAATGAAAGGAACCAACAATATAGGTAAGAGAATCGGGTTATTCTAGAAAGGAGAAAGTAGAACTTAAAAATCATGTGGCCTTCCTAAAAGATTCTATTCTTGAACTTCAGACAGAAATAGGAGGATACAGGCAAGAAAATCAGGATACGAAAGCTGAAGGTACCTTTATTTGATGATTTTATAGTTAAAATCAGAAAAGAAGAGCTCGAAAATTGCTTAGTTGATGCAGAGGAAATCATATCTACATTAAAAAGAAAGATTAGGCATGCTAATAATAGGCAAAAGAAGAGAGCCAATAGGACTAAATATCTTAACACCAAATTTAACAACGCTGTGAGAGAGGATGATTACAGAACACTTCATAGTAAGTTCATTTGGCTGAAATTTTAGATCATAGCTACAGGGTAGATAACCCTAAGACATCAAAGAGGTACCAGACTAACTCTAGGTCAAAGAAATACCTCTAAAGTAGATCTAGTCATGATTAGATTCATGTAAAAGTGTCAATAAATCATTGCTTGACAGGGGTTTTGGGGTTTTGGGGTTTTGGGG